TTCTGGGTGTTCCCAGGTGCTGCTGCTGCTGCTGGTCCAGGGACCACACTTTGAGAACCACTGCACCAGAGAATGAAAAATGATCCTTTAACCCCTATAGCTACCTGCAAGCCACACACTATAGTGCTGCCCATTTGAAAAGCAGCTTGACTGAACATCAGTGCTTGCCACAGTGGCTTGTATTTGAGAAGACTGACTTTTCTCTGTCCACAACTTCCTAATCCCCATGGCCTAATTTCACAGGGTGACATCATAAGGACCTGCTGCTTTCCGTCAATGTGAGCAGCTCTGGAGGGGACTGCTTCTTTCTTTGAGGACCAATTTCTCACCCTTGCCAGGGCTCCCCATGGTAAATTCTTGTCCATATTTTAATTTTAAGTGAGTTCTTTCCAAACATCCAGCCACACTACCTGACTGTCTTCATGGGATGCAGTAAAGGACAAACCTGATTTGATTAACGTAGATTCAATCTTATTAGCCAACGTGCAAAGAAGGTGTTAGCATCTCTGGATGAAGGAATGGAGGTCCAGTGGGTAAGTACTTTGAACAAAGCCACATGGCTGGGGAGAATGTCTCCAAGCTGGATTCACCCTCCTGATTCCCAAAGCCCATGCCCTTGCACCCACTAGATGCAGGGGTAATATCGAGAGAGCAGTTCTCGCCTTAACTCAGAAACCACTTCTGCTGAATGTATTCTAGCAGAGGCCATTGCATTCCCTGGGGTCTCGTGTGACCTACTCTGTGAGGCACGTGCATGACCTAAAAGAACCAGGCTCAACTTAGCTCATTTTACTCCTGGTTTATGAAACAATTTCAGACCCTCTCATTCCCTGCAGCAGCCTTGGAAGGCAGCATCCCCACTTCAGAGACGGGTGATGAGGAGTCAGTCACCTGCAGAAGGTAGCAGAGCAAGTGACAGATTCTGCCGAATCCCATCAAAACGGCAGGTGCCAGGCATGGACTTCTAAGCCCCCAGGTAGAAAATGTAGCTTAAGAAAAGAAATTATAAAAAGCACATTTGCCACAGGTAAGACTTGCTAGGAAGTTTGAGTCTTAGCTCTCTGCGCATAGTCATAGAGACCTACAGAGCTTGAGGCAAACCCATGTGCTCTTTCCTATCGCTGCTGTAACAAATTACCACAAACTTCGTGGCGTAAAATGACACACATTTGTTATCTTACAGTTCTGGAGGTCAGAAGGTGACATGGGTTTCACTGGGCTAAAATCAAGGTGTCGGCAGGGCTGTGTGCCTTCTGGATGCTCCAGGGGAGCGTTTCCTTGTCTTTTCCAGCTTCTAGAGGCTGCCGCATTCTTTGGCTCGTGGTGGCCTTCCAGCAATTGCCATCACTCCAACCTCTGCTTCCTTCCTCACATCTCCTCCTTTGACTCTTTTAAGGACCCTTGTGATTACTCTGGGGCTGCCCAGATAATCCAGGGTAAATGCCCCATGTCAGGGCCTTTAACTGAATCACATCTGCAAGGTTCCTTTTACCGTGGAAGGTAACATATCAACAAGTTCCAGGATGAGGACGTGAACGTCTTTGGGGGCCCACTGCTCCACATGCAACTTCAGAGGTACCATCTCTAACACATCCTGCAGTACTTAAATCGTTCCCTCGGTCTCACTCAGTGATGAGAGGGAATGATTTCCTCCCTGCCTTCAGGTGAGAGCTTCTCTCTTAGACGCCAACAAAATGCCTCCTTCCTCCCCTTCCCAAGTCCAGGTCCTAGAAATGCGGTCTTTACCCCATTATGCTGCTGAGGGAGTTATTAATTTCTAAGTAATGAAACACTAAAGTTAGAGTTTCTCTCAATGGTTCAAAATATAGAATGTGTTTTGTTAAATAATAGGAAATATTCACCTTCATGGAGAGATTTCATTAAGTAGTGGGAAAAGATAGAGTGTCTTTCTTGGTCTTTTCCTGCTGTCCCCCCAGGTCAGTGATCATAGAAATTTGTAATATACACTTATTTTATTAAATTCTTTAGCCCAAAGAAAGGCAGAAGTATGGCTGGCTTAGAATAACCGTGAGAGCCAGCAGTGATTCAGTGATTATCATGTGCCAGTACTGGCTAAGCTGGCTACACGGTGAATCTGATTCTAGACTGTTCTACTCTGATCAGTAGTTAAATCCAAGTGGCCCATGAATGATACCAGAAACATCAGACCACTCGAATATGCTGGTTAGCTTCGTTATCAGGATACCAATGACAGACACAATTGTGACAATGTAAACGGAATCCTGTGATGGTTGAAATCTGAGTTCAGACTTCAGGCTCAACATAAGCACCACTTCTGCACTTGAGCTTTCTAAGATAGCAATCCTGTTGACACAGGTTTATGAAGATAAGAAATGCTGACTGTGATATTACGTCCAGTAAATAGCTCTGAATTCTATAAAAGAAGAATTTAGCAACCTCTGTCCTGCAACAATAAAAGTTGTTCTTCGCAATGCACACCTTTCAGAAAATAAGAACTTCCTGAATGATGACTGGGTACTACATCTCAGATTTTCCCTTGAGTGAGTTTAGGGATTTCATTTTCCATAATGGAATTCTGGGTGTGATAGTGGCTGTGACAAGATGTGAGCTCTCTCTTCTGTATCCCTATTTATGTTTGAAGTAAGTAACACCTTTGCCATTGCTATTTGGCAAATAATAGGTGCTAAATAATATTTTGCAAAAAATCATACATGCTCCCCTGGCCAGATGAACTCTTTCCCTGCAAACCAAAATTCTGAGAAACGTGTGAAATGAATGACAGCAGTGAAGCTCCAGCATCTCTGCTGAGTTGGGTTTTCATGCCTTCCTCCAGCTTTTCTGTAGAAGGCCCGTCTGAGCCTTTGCGTGGGTGTCACTCCCTGCATTGTCTGGTCTCTGGGAAACAGTGGTAAGGCCACATTATCTGAAGTCTAAGTAGGCAGACCATCGTACGGTCCTGCAGTGTCCTCAAGAAGACGGAGCATGACTGCAAAGAAACAGGCCTCGAATACGGCCAAGAGGCTTGTTTGTGTGGAACTTGACAAAAGCTTGTGTTCCTGACTGGTCCTTTTATTTCACTGCAGAGTGATCCTCTCCCCAGTCTGGTGATGAAACATGGCAGCATGTTGAGTCTGGTGATGAAACCTGGTTTGTGGGCTGTATCCATCATGGTCCCTTCAGGAAACAGATGGTATAGTCAAAATAGGAGTGTTTTTTTTTTTTTTTTAATATTATTTATTTATTTATTTTCCCCCCAAAGCCCCAGTAGATAGCTGTATGTCATAGCTGCACATCCTTCCAGTTGCTGTATGTGGGACGCGGCCTCAGCATGGCTGGAGAAGCGGTGCGTCGGTGCGCGCCCGGGATCCGAACCCTGGTCGCCAGCAGCGGAGTGTGCACACTTAACCACTAAGCCATGGGGCCGGCCCAAAATAGGAGTGTTTATTCACAAAAAGACTATTCAGAAAGAGTAGGGGGCAGAGAACCGTAAACGACAGTGCAGGTACCCGGAGTAGTGGCCTCACTGTCACCCCTGTAGGAAGTGGTACAAAACAGTGAAACCTGGGAGGAGAGAGTCCTATGGAGAGAGGGGTGTCAGAGGAGCAGTGACTGTCACTTGAGGACACGGCAGTGTGGGGTGACCTTATGGGAGGGCACGAGGGAAGGGAATACCCTGACGTGTTGCCCCTGAGAGCAGCCCCTTCCCACAAGGAAGTCTAACTGGGGAGAAAACCAGTCTGTTAGTGGTGAGGAATCTCCATCCAGAACTTTATAGGCAGGAAGAGTTGGGAATCGGAGCCCTGTGAGACCAGGACAGTTTATTTCCCACCTTAGGACAAGGACGAAAATAGCATCACTGCTCTGAAGTGGGCAAAAGTTCCAGACTGTCTGGTGTGAGGCCATGGGGCCTGTGGAGCTGGGAAGTGCAAACACCCACAGCACAGTGTGACCGGATTCAGGAAGTGAGGCCCCAGCCCACAAGATGAGCAGGGCGGTGGAGGGGGGGTTGGCACCAGGGGCACCACGTGGGTCTGGGGCAAGAAGGGAGTTCCTCAGGCAGAGCTGTGGTTTGGTTTATTGTGGGATGGGGCCCTGGACTTGCATGTAATAAAAATACAAGGTGGCAGATCCGAGAGGAAGGGACCTGAGTGGGGAACAGTGTGAGAGATTGAGGGGGGATCTGTGGTGGAGACTCCAGCGTGCTGTCTGTCCAGCTTCTGTATTCGGTTCCTGCTCTGGACAGCTGGCACGGAAGGGTCTGCTGGTGCTCGGGCTGGGGAAGTGGTAAATGTGTAGAACAGTCAGGCAGCTCCACGTCACAGTCTGCCTGTGCTTCTCAGAGTGTGGTCCCTGGACCAGCAGCCCTGGCATCACCTTGGAACTTGTTAGAAACGCAGACTCAAGGGGCCACCCCAGACCTACAGAGTTGGCAACTCCGGGAGTGGGGTCTGGCAAGCTGTTCCTACAAGCCCCGGGCTGATTCTGAGGCACACTCCGGTTTAAGAACCACTGCTGTGGGGTCCCTGATTTGTAATAGAGGCAGAGGGTGCTCAGGCGGCCCAATGACAAAGAACTCTGACATGTGGTCAGTGGGGGCCGGGGAGGGGAGAGGGTGGTTCCCCACAGAGAGGGGAGAGGGTGGTTCCCCACGGAGAGGGACCCAACACGTGACGGACGCTGACAAATACAGGCACCGCGTCCTTGTGGGAGCAGTGAGAGGACTGGAGACAAGGGCAGCGGTCAGCTCTTGTCAAGATTCAGGGCAGACAGAAGGGAGGGGCAGCGGGGATGAAGGGTGCGCCTGAGAGGTAGAGGGCGGTGGATTGCACTGGCTTTGCACCGACTCATTTGGATTCTCGCCCTTTTTCATCTTGTTCTTCTAATTCATCCTTCCAACAGTAAGCCCCTGCTCTGGGGCAGGTGTCAGAAAAGGCGTTGGGATGTGGAGATGGAGAGCACGTGATTCTTCCACTAGAGGGGAGCAAAAATATAAACTCTGCTACTGCACTCTAATGCAGGAGGTCAGCTCATTGAAGGGAAGGAGCGTGTTACAAGGAGCATTCCTGGCAAAGGAGTTGCTGTCTTGGGCGTTAAAGACTGTGGGTGGACGCACAACGTGTTCAGTGAACAAATGGTTGGGTGTCGTGGGAGTCCTGTGTGCATGGGGAAGGGTCTGGAAGGTGGGCCCAGGTAACAGGAATGGAGCTTGAATCCTCACTGTGTTAGGCACCTTAAGGATTTTATATTTCCATTGTTTAATCTTCACCGAAACCGCTGACCTTGTGAGATAGTGAAGGACATGCTAAATTTAAAGTTTGAATCTTATCCTGTGGGGGCCGGGCAGTCTTTGAAGTGTTTTACGAGGAAAATGGCTGTGGCACCATTCTCTGAGCCTCTGGTTCTCAATTCTCCCTGCACATGGGACTTGCCTGAGGAGCTAATTAAAAGAAGATGCGGATGCCAGG